ATATAGTGAAAATTTGTGTTGCAAATAAGAGATGTTCATTGATACTATGTTCCACTGTTAACAGTTTGACATTGTTAAGAGGTGACTCCACAATTATTTATTTTGTGTAATTTAATTTAGCCAACGGGTCAATTTGCAGTTGCATCCTTATGTCTTTATATGCATAATATTCTAAATGTACTGTTGTAATATGTTTTCTAGGCTGCAGCCATCCATCCATCTGTTACAGCTGATCCTTTTCAGGGTCGCGGGGGGCTGGAGCCGATCCAACCCTTTATAAGTTGCCAGACCATCACAAGGCTGACACATAGAGAGAGACAACCATTCACACTCACGTGCACCTTCGGACAATTTATAGTCATCAATTAACCTAAGCTGCATGTCTTTGGACTGTGGAAAGAAGCCAGATAACCCGGAGAGAACCCACGCTGACACAGGGAGAACATGCAAACTCTACACAGAAGGGCCGTCTAGGCCCCTCTTGCTGTGAGGCGACAGTGCGAGCCACTAGGCTGTAGTTGTTCATGCAGAATGGACGTTTGTGAATGTGCTGCACTGCTTCTGCCACCAGTAGGTGCCGTTAAGTGAGTCTAACGGGAAGGGCGGCACTCAACGGGGTCGGAGTCATGTTGAGCGCCACCCAGAAATGCACACTACGGTCAGGGGCTTCTCCAGCATACAGGTCAAAGAAAGGTGACCCCTGATGGACAGACAGGAAACGTACAGCACAATTTCAAAAATTGCTTAACCAATTGCTTAGTTTATATTTATTCCTATTTCTTAATTTATATTTTGCCATTTTTTGAGGGTTGTGTGTGTTTATTAATTGCTTTTGAGGGTAACCCGTGCAGGTCAATGTCACACAGTTTTTAGACTGAGCAGCCTGAATCATGTTATCTTGCCTGCCAGGTTATTTTGTTTAGTTCTCTTTATTTACCCTACCATTTCAGTAGTAATATTTAGTTTACATTTTCTTTTTCTTTGTGCAACTGTAAAACAAGGAGCGAACAAACAAATATTTTAATTTTTTAATCGCATGTGGATATACCTTTTTTCTCAAGCAAATAAGCATCTATCAATCTCTAAGTCAGCCCACGGGTGACTAGCACAAATGGATTTCAACGAATGGATACCGCGGTCACTACAAACAATATAGTAATTGATGATCTTCTCACCACAATGAGTGACTGAACAGACGGTGTTTTCTTCAGCAGGCCTGAGGACTTCCCTGAAACTGGGAGGGTGGGGTCAGGCTCTAAGGGGTGAGGCCGTGAGCTGAGGCGGTCCAGGCTGCTAGGTTGAGTCCTGCTCAGTCTGACGTTGGAGAAAAGATGACGTAAAGAAAGACGAGAGGGTTCGTCTCTGCTGATGAGGCTGAAGGAAACAGACGATCAGGCTCTGAAAACACTTATTACGACTGAATACTTTATTCTGCATTTGTATTGGTGCTGGTGTCAGATGTGATTGATCAACATCAAATCCACTTTGTTTGTCAGTTATAAATTTATTGTCAAATTCATTGGATCTCATCTACTGATCTCATGTTACAAACTAGTGATTCTACCCGGTCCCACACAGAGGGGTTTACGGATTTTACATTTGAGGAAAACAGAATACTGAGATCAGATGTACAGAGAATACTGTTTTAGCAGAATTTAGGTATCAGAATCTGCTGTTTCCAAAGTCAGGAATGAACTGTCTCAACATCGATTAGTCCCTGCACACATACTGCAGAGTCACTGCACACCTTCTACTGCAGTCACTGTACACCTCCTACTGCAGAGTCACTGCACACCTTCTACTACAGAGCCACTGTACACTTGCTATTGCAGAGTCACTGTACACATGCTATTGCAGAGTCAGTGTACACCTTCTACTGCAGTGTCACTGCACACCTCCTACAGCAAAATCACTGCACACCTACTGCAGGGTCACTGCACACCTCCTCCTGCAGAGTCACTGCACACCTCCTACTGCAGAGTCACTGCACACCTCCAACTACAGAGTCACTGTACACATGGTACTGCAGAGTCACTGCACAGCTCCCACTGCAGAGTCACTGTACACCTTCTACTGTAGGGTCACTAAACACCTTCTACTGCAGAGTCACTGTACACATGCTATTGCAGAGTCACTAAACAGCTGCTACTGCACAGTGACTGCACACCTCCTACTGCAGAGTCACCGCACAGCTCCTACTGCAGAGTCACTGCACAGCTCCTACTGCAGAGTCACTGTACACCTCCTACTGCAGAGTCACTGTACACATGCTACTGCATATCTTTTCTGCAGAATTACTGCACACATTTTACTGCACACCTTCTACGGCACACATTCTACTCCAGAATGACTGTAGGCTGAAAACCATCTTTTCCCATCTCAATAACTCTTAGCTCTTATGTCTCAAAACCTCTACGCACTCAAAGAGAGAGATGACTGGTTGCTCTGTGTACTACATCCTTGATCAAAAACGTTTCAGGTGTTCTTTGAAAATGGGACTTCTGGATTGCCGTCCTGTTTACAGTATTTCTAAGCACTTGTTCTGTAGCACTGGTCATGCTTTTAGTTACTTATTTACTTGGATTGAACAAACTCGTTGTAAGTCACTCTGGAAAGATGATGCAGTGCAGTATCCATGGCAACAGTCTACATCAATGTGTTTAGTGTTGAATCAGGACCTCCAGCAGCAGACTCAGTTGGAGTTTAAACTCACCAACCAGGAACTGAAGTGTCGTCACCGTGAACCTCTGCTCTCACTGTCTGTCTGACTTGTCCATCACCACTGCTGCCTGATTTTGCCGGGGCTTGGCTCTCAGCTGTGAACCAATCAGAGGGCGAGATGATAGTGTATTACTTTTTCAGTTTAAATTTCATATCATAAGAAAAACTACAGGAGTGAATCCATGGAACCTCGAGCAGACGGTAGTCGACTACTTTTAGATAAAGCATTTTAGTCTTACCTGAGAGGTGTACTACTAAGTAAGCTTAGTGGGTTCGCAAGCTATGTTGAGCCTAAAGTCAGAGTTAACAATGTTCCGAAAGTGTCTCATTTTAACTGGCTAGATAGCCATGGTAACTTAAGCTTTGTTCATACTTGCGCTCCACAGATGGCGAGAACTCCAATCATGTACAAAGGCGTATATGCTCAATGCGCTGTTCATTGCCAGAGGGCTTACAAAATATACTGAGAAGAAGCAAGAAGACAACGAGTGTAACAAAATGCAATGCAGAATGTAATGTAATGCAAAATGCAATAAGAAAAACCTCCAGAATGCAGAAGAGGGATTGAAATTAACTGTAAACTCTCATCACATATTAATGGACTACTTTATTGCCTTTATACAAGCCTTGTAAAGAGTGAATCAAGTATTAAATGCATTATAATGAAACGAAGGTTGAATATCCTGTAAACAAAATATTTACTGAAATGTAGATTTTTAAGACCTCCTGTTTCCAAAGCATCTAAAAATGTATTGGCCTTCTTTGTATAATCACAAGAGATATATAATAATAGCTCTTTTATCAGTGAACTAATGGTGACAGTTACATCTGAAAAACTTTTATCGTGCGCAACAAGTTACAATAATTCAGAGGTACAGAGACGCATGACGTGCAGGCCGTGGTTACGTTCAGCTCGACCATAACCTCCGCTTTATCCTTCATGGCTAAACATGTCCAGACCAGTTTATGCTGAGAGTTTCGGATTCAAATTCCCAACTCAACAAGGAAATAGCATCACCATTGAGGCAGTATGTTATAAATGTAAAGTTGTTGAGCCGAACATTACATCAGTAATACCACAGACGAAGCTGTGCAATTACAGTAGCGCAAAATGAGAAGGAATAGTGTTTTATTTTATTAACAAAGTTGTTGTTGTTGTGACTGAACCACTCAATATGTTTGTAGTGGTTAGGTTAGGGTAGTGTATGTACATATGTCATGCATGTAAATGCTCACCTGTTGTCTCTGAGCTTCTCCCTGAGGAGGAGGAGGAGGAGGAGTTCTTCATCCTGAGATCCAGACCTCCTTCTTCCACAGAACGGGTCCTCTCCTTCAACTCTGCCCCAGATCGGAGCTGTATGTGGGGCTTGGCTTCCGGTGGATCCTGCTCTGCCTTTGTGCTGCTGAGCCTGATGTTCTGTGACATCAGCGATGATGTCACAGGTGGAGGAGACAAGGTGTAGGAGCAGTTGGAGGTGTGCATGGTCAGCTGATCAGGGGGCGTAGGGGTTGATTGGCAGGTCGGTGGTGGGCGTGGCTTGAGGGATGGTCATCTGGTTTACATTCAGTTCCACCTGATTGGTCGTCCTCCTCACATGGTTGTTAGCAGCAGGCATAGTCCTGCCCCCCCTCCCATTGGTCTCACCAGGTGTGACAGAGCCAATATAGGTCTCTCTGATGGGCTCAGTTCGCAGGTTGAGGCGGCGTCTGTGCAGACTCCGCCCCTGGTCTTCAGGTGGGTGTAGACGGAGGTTCAGGTTGACTCCGCCTCCCAAAACTGTCCCACAGGAGTCACACTGACCCACCCCCCCTGCAGGCGTCAGTCCTGTCTGCTGTCTGTCAACATGTCCAGCCTCCGCCCTACCGTTGATGTACTGGTTCAGGTTCGGTTTAGAGACCAGGACACCTGTCCATCGCTGCCCCCCATGTCTCCTCTGCCTTTGTCGCTCCAGGTAACGAGACTCCACCTCCGTCTCCGTCTCATCCTCAAATCGCAGACAACGAGTCGGAGACGCCAACGGGAGTCGCCTCGATGACCTGACAGCTGATTCGCTGCTGGAAGAGTCACTCAGGTGCCCTGATGAAGAGGCCACGCCCTCAAACCTAACGTGGATGACAGGATGCAGCCTGACCCCCGACCTGTGAACAGACCACCGTTAGAGGGCCCCATAGTCAAGACAGCAGGACTGGGATCAGTTAACTGAGATGGAAGGATGAAGTCAGATGAAAA